CATACTTCGCTAGGACTGCTTTAAAATCTTTCAAAGTACGATATGACGAGTATGCCCTTTTCGTGTTGTCCTTGAGTATCTTGACCTCTTTTGCAAGAAGTGTTGCCGGACCACCTTTTAATCCATAACTTTGGAAATCTTCTTTGGTCATATCGAGGAAGGAGAGGCCAGTGATTTCTTCATTGCGGAGGATGTCGAAGTGCTTTTCATTAAGCTTTAGGCCCTGCTCTCGCAGGTAAAGGACAAGGGTCTCGGTATCCCAATTTTCGACTAAGTACGTATCGAGTTCGGTTGTGGAAATAGACATGGTAAGTATACTGCTTTATATACGAAAATTTGTGTTGTGCGAGTGTTGGTCCGGAAAAATTTTTTTTTAGGTATATGTGAAAATTTGATCGTTGCAAAATGCGAGTATCACATTACTTTTCGGCATAAATTTTTCCGGGTGAACGCAATCAGCTGGTCACACGATTATTATGCTTTGCCCTACATCATGTATGAAAGGCTCCACAACCTTCGATTTTCTTCTGTGATATAACATGTGATGTGTTGATCGAACATCTGCATTACGCATTCAATTTTTCAGATATGTCGGCATTTGGAAATAACAACCAAACGTTTGGATAAATTTGTTACTTTTTCAAACGAAGTTCTGCATAGCGGGACAAGATCTAACCCTCTCTTCATTTATAAAGATCTGATGCAGAAGCATTGGGATTACAAATGTAATAAACCAAAGACTAATTTTGGAAAAGCAAGAATTATACAAATAGCTTATCGAAATTATAAGAATAGACCTGAATCATTAGCAACCCAAGCTTGGAATGCAATGAGAAATGATAATATTCCAGATGATAAGAAATTTCTAGGTTTAACTAGTCGTAAAGTGAAAAATCCTCAAACTCGAGATCAATTCAATCAGTGGAAAGCTGAGAAAATTGCTATGTATAAAAAATATAATAGCCCACAAATGCTTAGTTTCTTTCATAATAGTAAATATGAAGAATATTACATTCCATACGATTGGATAGGTAGAAAGAAAAACCAATTACGAGATAGATTTAGTAAGCGTCTCCAACAATTAGAAGTGTAATATATTAATACCTATCACATCTACTGTATTTATTTGATTTATCAACCCCGCCTTCTCGTGACTCTATCACTCGAAGCCAGAAAAGTGGATGCAGAATGTATTACAAACAGTAGATAGAGCGGAGCTCATTATTATTGCTTTGCAATGACCCTCGGGTCTACATAATACGACATATATCTTTTTCCAAACATTTTTTTACTTTGATTTTTTTATATCAACCCATTTCCATCTAATACAAAAATCTCTAGTGTTGATAATAGATCGCGCTTGTTATTATTATTGCGAAGCAGGCCCGTAGGGGCGAGTTACACTCATGGCTCTTTGAGCCTACTCATTGGAAAGGTCAAGAGCTTGGTCCCATCCCTTGCGAAGATATAGAGGGTCTTCTTTTGCTCTAGTTAAGTCGATAACAATAAAATCTCTACCTTGTAAATTTTTATCAAGTATATCGACAACATCGCGCCATTTTTTTGTATATCGTCGGGCAATGTTAACCAGCTCATCATATGTACCACTACCATTAAAGAGGACTATGTAATCGAGATTGTTTCTTATTAATTTGGGACAGTCAAAGAAAGATTGTGTTATGTATATGCTAGAAATATTACGATGCTTCCC